AATAGACCTCTGGAGGAACTTGTTAACCAACACCTTCTCTGTTGCCAATCACAATAAAATCATGCTTCATATTTTATCAGTTTGTGGCCCGGAGAGCAACAGAGGGAGTTCATAAAAATGTTGGGCAGCCATTAAAATGTGTCTTTAATCCCTGAGGACATATCAGCAGGGATTTGTCCATTTAGACAATGTTGTTTTAATCTTTTGAATCATTTTAAAATGTAGATCAGCTCTCAGAGGAATAACAGAGAAGGCTAGGCTTGTGAGTTCATGTTCATGTTACCAAAGCTAGTTAGTACTGTGTAACTTCATACCCCTACTTTCATGTTACCAAAGCTAGTTAGTACTGTGTAACTGCATACCCTACTTTCTTGTTACAAAAGCTAGTTAGTACTGTGTAAGCTCGTACCATACTTTCGCAGGAGCTTGTTAACTAAAGTGCGAGGTCTTCTCCTTTCACTATTTCACGTTGTCGGGTCGAGGCATCAGTCTTTGAAGACCAGCACTCTAAAGATATAATTGAAATGTCTTACATACAAGGTATTTATTTAAGTCCACAAGCCGAAGAAGAAAAATCTTTTATTATTATAAGTGATCCACAGTTGGTTTGATCTGTAACAGCCCTATCCACGTCCAGACCTTCCTAAACACGCACACTTCCACATCAATCATAAGCTCAGAAACACAGTGTTCAGTAGTTACGTATTTGTGGATCAAATGAATCCTGTATATATAAGATTGGTCATTTTATTAAACTGATTAGTTAAAACAACAACAAACATCTTAAATTTAACCAATCCAGTTGGTAGTTTCTGTGTGTCTGGCCGACATAGATAGATACTTTATTTATCCCCGTAGGAGAAATGCAGGTGTCCAGTAGCAACAGATACACATCCATTCATACAAACAAAACAGATACATACATGATTCTAAAAGAAACTAGCAATAGTAATAAAATACTTTAGGTCAGAGCAGCAGAGGTGGAACATCGACTGGGTGGAGCAGGACAGGTGTGGTGGTGTGACATCTATAAATGGTAATGTTTTCAACCAATATATTTTGGCCATAGCACCGACTGATGTAAATGTGTCATTCTTGACCAACATATTGGCCAAATCAACCTATATCTGTTTAACCAATTAAATTGGTTGACCCAAAACCATCAGATGGGTAAATTTCTGACCAATATATTGGTTAATCTAACGCTAATGGGCTTTGTCACGGCTCTAGGCCCGGATATTTCTCCCTGTTAAGATTTGGAGTGTCCAGATCCCTGGCATGTGATTGGAGAACCACTGGCCCTCCTACGTCCCAGAAGTCCGTGACGCAGGTGCAAGAGGTCCAGGGATAGAACAGCACCAACATTCCGCAATCAACAACCACCACATCTACATTTCGAAAGCCAATTAAAACACCAAGATTAATTTATCACTTACCAAATACAAACCAATTACCTTACTGCTTTGTGAAGGCATAGGGTGACTCGAATGTTTTACCAATTCAATTGTTAGATTAAAGTGTGGGTAGGGGCATTTACTGTCGTTCTACGCTTCTACTGTTTTTTTCCTCCCCCAAACAGCTTTTCCATATTCAAAGGCATTCAGTATTCATTTGAAGGATAAATAGCAGTCTATAAATATTCTCTGTGATTATACATATTTACAGAGATGACAACAGTGGAGGAATCCTGGAGTGCGTTGGCTCGGGCTTTGTTCTGCCTTGTTTACCATTTTTCACTTCGTACAGAGCAGGGGTCTTTCTTGAGCTCTTAATTGTTTTGAGAGCTTTACCAGCACCATGCCACATCCCCTTTTTCCTACAATCCATCAACTTAAAAACAGGTCTTTGGTTAAACAAGAAGGGCAAAAGGAAAGGGAAACCCAAACAAAAGACTGCTTCATTCACGATCCTGCACACAGCGGGAGAGCAGTTCCCGGCTATAACCACAAACATAAACATAATCTACAGTAACGTACACTGCATTCTCCGCCTGTGATCCGCCACTGGTGTTTCGCTCGGCTCACAGCACACACCATACCCCCTTTTCAGCCGCTTTTTTGGAGTGCAGCTCATTGATCTGGCTCTGAAAAGCACCCCGAACAGCGAACTGATATAGAAAATTAAAAGCGTCCTTTTGAAGGCACCAGCTGGAGTTTTGATGAAGTAAAGCCCGCCCCTTCCCCTCCTCCCCCCACACCCCTCTCTCATACGCAGCACCCAGACAGAGATGAAACCCGCCAGCACTTTGAGGTGGCAGAGAATATTTCACCAGCGCACAATGAAGCCTAATACAAGTTTAGCGTTGCCTTTCCAGTTCTGCGGTTTTGCGGAGGGGGGGGACATTTTTAGACGTGACACAAGCGCTTGCTGATGTGATGCTTAAGTGGTCCTATTAATGCTGCCAGTCATGGTGTTGGCACAAAGCTCAGATCCTCCCCTTTGAGAGAGTACCAGGAGGCGCAGTGGAGATGAATACGCAATTACTGCCCTTCAACGGAGCGCTATGGCTTTCTCTCGAGCGCGCGCTTTAGAAACGCACCGGAACGCGCAACGCTCCAGGCCATGTACCAAAAACATTCCACCCTCGTGTAGAGAAATCTATGTCAGAGAGACGCCGGAGATGCCTAAAAGAAGCAAAGGGCATGAGTTGTTTGTTGAGTGTGAATTACAATTGGGTTGTAATTGGACTCTTGAGACGTAGTGGTCCATGTGTAATGTACTGTGGGTTTGTGTGGTAGGTTCCAACGTGCGATATGGATAATTATGGGGAATTATGGTTACATTTCAATGTTGCATTTCTAATTAACTTGACCTCAGACGAAGGCGAAAGCTTCCCGCCGTAACATGTCAGGTAATTAAGCACATTTTTGCTCTGTTTGTCTGATGAGGAGAAATCTCTCTCAGCTTGTTTGCAAAATACCAAATTGAATTAACACTAAGAAAATTTGAATATTTGTCTTTCCGCCAACTTCAGGTCTATCAAATGTGAATCAACGGGGACTTTACAATTTGGGTTGTCAGCCCTGAATTGCAGAAAAAATGCGTAGCCTGTAACAGGTTGTTTTTAATCTGGAACACTAACTTCTGCTGTCACGTTGGCTTGCTTTTCTACAGCCGTATCCAATATTCACAGATATTTTACAACTATTCAATTCAATTATGTATTTTTGTATAGCCCTCAATGACAGCAGCAGTCGTCTCAGGGGACTTTTTGTAAAATTGTTGATTTACCACCAACAGATTAGAGAATCAACTCGTTCGAACACAGGAAAAGCAACAATAACAAACACATAGGAGCGGGACAACCAATGTCCATAAATGTCCCGGATTTGTTTAATATTGTTCATTTGGTTGGACTGTGCATATGAATGAACTATTGTGCATCGTTTTAGTAGGGGAAACCGCAGCACCTGGAGGATAACCTACGCCACACATCGCACATCATTTCCCTCAGACTCTCCTGCATACACTCCGCTATTCACTCTTTTACTGGCAAAGTCGTGCAAAACGTAGAGACAGTACTGTTCTGCTGGAGCATGTTGAATAACAGGAGACAGCCGCTCAGAAGAGGGATCGGGACACGCCTCGGGTGATGGGAGTCTTCTTGGAATCGGAAGTGGATCTGGGAAGTGCAGTGAAAGCCGCCATGATCGATGTGCTCTTTTGACTTTTTCCACTATCACACCTCTTCTGCTTAAATGTATGCACACAGGCAGCTGGCAGTTCATCAATACTGGAGGTCAAAAACGGTGTGAACGTGCTTTGTGACTGGCAGCCTGGAACATGCAGAAAACCACAGATCAGAATCCATGAGTCTTACGAGCAACGATGAATGACGCGTGGATTTTAGAATGTGTTGTATAGAAAGTGTTTTACTTACATAAAGTTGTATATAATGAGACGTTTTATCTGTGCACGAAAGAGAGCCCCCTTTATACCAATATCAAAATGTATTTGGTAAAGACTAAATTATAAATTTTTTCATATGTTTTCTGCCCTGGACCTTTGTGTTTATGTGTATTTTTTCCATTCCATTTTCTTCCGCTTCATCCGTTGCCGCCCAGACTTCCCTATCCACACACACTTCCTCCAGCTCGTCCGGGGGGACCCCAAGACGTTCCTAGGCCAGCTGAGAGACATAGTCCCTCCAGCGTGTCCTAGGTCTTCCCCGGGGCCTCCTCCCGGGGAAGATGTGTATTTTTGTTTATTGAAACTTTATTTTATTGTATTGATTCATTTGAGAAGAGGTTTTACATTCAGTAGTATTTATGATATTTACATTCCGTCTTGTATACTGCGCTTACAGTCTATACATGCAAATATATCTGGATAAATATACAATCAAGCAACAGTATTTTCCATAGTTTCACCATGTGTTGGTAGATTTACACTTTCAAATGTATTTACAAATGTATTTCTATTTACGTGATTCAGTTAGAGCAACAGCACTTCATAGTTTGATGTAAAGTACACAAACCCCATCAATAACAACCCAGAGAAAACATTGAACTAATTAAATGAAAAAAACAAATAAAAGTAATGCAAAAATAACTTTATTTTTCCGCGCTTCATTTGCAGACGGAGCACCAGTGGGAACCCATAAAAAACACAGAGACATAAGATATAAAACAAAAAAAGTGCAGAGATTCCGTATAAAATACATAAAACAGATCATAATCTGCTTGAGCCGAAACAGGCCATGCCCCAATCAGCTGTTTAAAGGCGGATTGAGAGGGACCAGGATGGAATGGGTCAAAAGCAGATGACAATTTTCCTAAACTGAGACAACACAGTTTTTTTATTATAATCATTAAATATGAGGTGTAAGGTTTAGTGTATAAAATAATTCAAATTAGACATCTGCAAATATGTAAAACGATCCAAAGACAGACTCGTGATTTAGTAGGTCTTAAAGTATTCAAATGAAGTCGATAAATAAAATGCTATACCCTTCCATCACCTTTCTTACCAACACACACACACAAACACACACACAAACCTCATTTCCACAAACCCCCCAACACGCCCGTCTGGCTGGCCTGGGACGTCCGTGAAGAGTATCTCATGTTTATGGATCTAATGGACTGAGAGACGAAAGAAGTGTTTTTGTGTCTGAGCAGAAGCAGCAGCCTAATGCCCACCGCAGGGAGACGGCTGAAGGATCGGAGAGCCCCACCCCCCTCCCTCTCCTCCCTCCCTCTCCTCCCTCCCTCCCCCCCCCCCCACCTCATATCTGTGTGGTCTGGACATCTACGTGACGATCGACTCTGATGCCGAGCTGCTTTGAGCCGCTGTCTGCTGAACACAGGGAGTAGGGATATTGCACAACAGCAGAGACAGTGCAGGGGTTATTGTGTTATTACATGATGTTTGAAGGAGGTGTTCTCTGTAGATTATAAATACATATAAAAGAAAACATCTTGATATATTACACCTGTGTCTCCCTCTGTGTATTTAGACCCCGTCCTCTTGTTGTCGGTGCATTGTTGATTTTTCCCCCCATGTTTTCTCCCAGGTTTCAGTTATAACTTATGGATTTATTTTCTTTTACTACATGTTTGTTCGCAAGGGGTAATAGTGGCTCAGTTGGTAGAGCATTGGCCTTTAAGCCTGAAGGTGGTGGGATCGATCCTCACATGTGACCTTCTCCACCTCTACTCCCACTTTGCCTGAAGCCCCTACTAGGATGGATGGATGGATTTGAGCCTTGTCAGAGAAGAAGCTGATCTCACATTTTAAGGAAACTGTTCCAGATTTTAGCTGCATGAATCTGAAATGCAGCCTCCCCATGTTCCTGGTTCTATGCAGGACTCGAGCTGAAGGGTTTTGAATCTGCTGCAGCGTTTGGAGAGACCAGTGAGCCGGTCGTTACAGTACAGTCTGACATACTGGAGACAAAAATATGGATAAGGATCTCCAAGTCTGCTTTAGAAAATACATGTTTGATCCTGGCAAAACGTTTTAAGCAAGTATTGTCCATACATGTGTTTTGACAATTTATATATATGACAATATGTTCTTACAATTACATGCCTGGGTTTGTAGCTGGTAATTTATACTTTTGGGGAAAAAAGAAAACAAATTCAACTACTTCACCACATCACACTGCAAAAAAGTGATCAAAAATAAGTCAAAAATTGCTCAATTTTGGCAAAATGTATCATCATTTGAGTTGCAAAATAGGATTAAATAGCTCTGTCCCATTGGAAAATCTCGTTTTAAGACAGAATCACTTACTAGCTCATATTTCTTCATTTTTTGCAGTGTATCTCTTTACAATGTTATTTCACATTCTAAAACATGAACAATCACATGAAAGTAAAAGACCCAAATTAATGCGACGTATTTCTTTTCCAAGACGACACTTCCATAAATTACATTTGCCTCAATCGTTTGTATTACATCATGAGTCTGTGTGCAACTTTGTAATGTTCTCACAATAAAAACAGCATTGAGCTTCAGAACTTCTGAGGTTTTCTTTGTGCTTTCCTTCAATGCCGTAACAATGAGGTGGCTGCATCAGACAGAGCACACTCAAGTCACACGCTTTTTGTTTCGTTGCTGTTAGTTCTGAACTGCGTGCACCATTTCTACTGCATCGTTGAATATTGAACAATACCGAAGCTTTCTCCTGCACTGACAGACATATTCTCTGCTGCTGTGGAAGGACTCATAATGGAATCATGGACAAAGACATGGGCAGGATGAGCGCTACTCCCATCTCGGGTAAAAGTGGGACATACCACTCCTGTTGTTGGTGTTGGTGTTGTAGACAGTGTCCCACGAAAACTCTTGGGTTTGGTAAAAATTTGATATTAAAATCTGGAATTGATGAAAGAAGACATCGTTGAAACAGCCTTTTTAATAGTAAGTAAGTAGTAAGTAAGTATTTATTTATATACCGCCTTTTCACTGCAGATCTGAGTCTCAAAGCGGTTTACAATTGTTAATTTTTTGTGCATTAGTCTCTCACTCCACACAGAGATGGGAGCGGGGTCGCCAGTACAGGAGGCGCATGCTAGAACTATTGGACATATTTTTAGTGGTAGGGGAAACCGGAGTACCCGGAGGAAACCTACGCAGACACGGGGAGAACATGCAAACTCCACTCAGAAAGGCCCTGGTCCGACCGGGATTCGAACCCAGGACCTTCTTGCTGAGAGGCGAGAGTGCTATCCACTCAGCCACCGTGCCGCCGGTTAATGCGGGCGGCACGGTGGCTGCGGTTAATGCGGTTTCAAGTGTAATTACGATATGCATTGTGCTTTGGAATAGGCTGGACTTCTGTTTTTTTGCGCGAGGGAAGACGGTAAAAGAGAGCTTTCCCATAGGAGTGTCCTTGTTCCACAGCCTGATAGTCCTGCCTCGTGCGGCCTCGGTCCTTGTTCCACAGCCTGATAGTCCTGCCTCGTGCGGCCTCGGTCCTTGTTCCACAGCCTGATAGTCCTGCCTCGCGTGGCCTCGGTCCTTGTTCCACAGCCTGATAGTCCTGCCTCGTGCGGCCTCGGTCCTTGTTCCACAGCCTGATAGTCCTGCCTCGCGGGGCCTCGGTCCTTGTTCCACAGCCTGATAGTCCTGCCTCGCGTGGCCTCGGTCCTTGTTCCACAGCCTGATAGTCCTGCCCCGCGGGGCCTCGGCCCTTGTTCCACAGCCTGATAGTCCTGCCTCGCGGGGCCTCGGTCCTTGTTCCACAGCCTGATAGTCCTGCCTCGCGTGGCCTCGGTCCTTGTTCCACAGCCTGATAGTCCTGCCTCGCGTGGCCTCGGTCCTTGTTCCACAGCCTGATAGTCCTGCCTCGTGCGGCCTCGGTCCTTGTTCCACAGCCTGATAGTCCTGCCTCGCGTGGCCTCGGTCCTTGTTCCACAGCCTGATAGTCCTGCCTCGCGGGGCCTCGGTCTTTGTTCCACAGCCTGATAGTCCTGCCTCGCGGGGCCTCGGTCCTTGTTCCACAGCCTGATAGTCCTGCCCCGCGTGGCCTCGGTCCTTGTTCCACAGCCTGATAGTCCTGCCTCGCGGGGCCTCGGTCCTTGTTCCACAGCCTGATAGTCCTGCCTCGCGGGGCCTCGGTCCTTGTTCCACAGCCTGATAGTCCTGCCTCGCGTGGCCTCGGTCCTTGTTCCACAGCCTGATAGTCCTGCCCCGCGGGGCCTCGGTCCTTGTTCCACAGCCTGAGTCCGTGGGAGCGGATCCCTCCCTCAATGTGGGCCTCCCAATGCTTTCTCAAATTCTCCCACTGGGTTTTTAGAGTTTTTGCTTGCATATACAGGAGGGTCTAAGGACAGTGATGAAATTTATGGATTTTATCAATATTTATGGACTGCCCCTTATGGACTAATGGTTCAAAGTATTTTTATCATTACATTTTCTTTGAACGGTTTGATTCTTTGATTTGTGTTGGCAAGTCGACAGCTTTTCAAAGTCCTCTGAGATAACTACTGTTGTGATTTAGGACGATACAAAAATAAATTGTAATTACATTAAGCGCTTTGCTGTTTATCCACGTCTCTTGTTGCGCCTCTTTTACCACCAAGTATCGTGTCACTTAGTGTAAATTGGGTGTTTTACTGAAATGTATAGAATATAAAATAATGAGTCACATATTTAGCACAGGTTCTGTCTCAAATGTGGTGGGATATGGGGAGAGTTAGCAGCCGTTGTCAGCTGTGTGGGCAGGTGACAGAGGGCTGGCAGAGCAGGGGCAGAGGGCGGTGGAAACAGCCTGCCCCGCTGACTTGTCCCGCCACATGAGTTAAAGGTGTCACTGTGACGAGCCAAATCTATTTGAGAAAAGCTTTTAGGCTGTTTCTGTCACCTGTGCCTCAGCTGCAGGCCACAAAGTGCTCCTTTCACTGCCGCCCAAGTGGAAACCTAAAACCAAAAAAAAACTTCCACCTAATTCAAGCACAACACTATTTTTATATAAATTGGAAAGTTTTTCCTCAGACAAAGCAGCCCCTGGGCCATGTATTAGCACAGACTTCCACAGAGATGCTTTCATCCATCAAAGCCGTAAAATGCTCTCAAGAAGGGAAAAAAAGAGCTCATTTGAAGTGGAACGAATGTTGGATTTTGTATGTATTTGTATTATTGTGAACAAAGAGAGAAAAACAGTGTGTGTCACAGTGGTTGGTACAGCAAAGGGAGGCAATGGCAACTCAGGTGCAAGAAGAAATAAATGACACAAACCTAATTGGATTTCTCTGATAACAATTGTGGGATGTACATAATTGGGGAAAACATATGTCAAAATTTGGGAAACCCTGTGGGTCCAATTTGTGTTGGACCCACAGGTTGCTACATTAGGAAAGTTTATTTAGTTAATAACATTATTAACATTCTGTCTTTCTATAGTAGACTCAGACCAAAACTATTGTTTGTTACAGGAATGAGGGACATATCAAAAAAGTCTGAAATGCAGAATGCTATTACACCTGCTTGATTTGCTAACAACATTTTACTTTTGGGCACAACCAACATGAACTGGTAGTGGAAGGGAAATTAGGTACCCAAGCTTTAATTTAGCAAGTGCACTTCTGGAGTAGACACAGAGGAGACAGCTGCAGAGGTATGTACAGTACACAGTTACAGGGTACACAAAGACACGCACACAACAAGCAAAGAATAGTCCTGTGCGCGTGACGTGTCAATGCAACGGCCGCTGGAGGTGGGAACCTCTGTCCAGAGCGGCTGCAGCTGCCCCGGGTCAGAAGGCTGCGGCTACGGAGGATGCCTAATCCCGTCCGAGTTCATAGCAAACAACAGCAAGTGCCTCGCGTTCACGCTCGTTTTATTTTTAAACTTGAATTCCCAGAGGGCCTACCTGCTCTGTCACCATCTCACACACGCATGTGTCCGTTGCATTCTGAGTGTTATTATGGGATGCATGGGCGGGTCATTCCGTACATGCGTCCATGCGTTAAAAATTAATTGACGTGCGTTAACGCGTTAATTTTGACAGCCCTAGTTTTTATATATTTTCTTGCAGGAGGGGCCGCTCACGGCCATTTTTAAAAAGTTGGTAGGAGGGAAAAGTAATCACACAAAGTTTCAACGTCACTACGTCTGTTCATATGTACAGACTCTGCTAAATATATAAATACACATGACTGGTGAAGTAAGAGATGCACAAACACTTGTAGTGGTTAAATATTAGTGTTTTTGAGTATTTCCCACAAGGCCAATTGAAAGCCTGCAGTCCTAGAGGATCAACAGGAGATATTCTACTAATTTAGGGCCTTGAGGATACATCATTGTGTACTACAGAGTTAAAAATCATTAGAGAGCATTCAGATTAAAGGGACGGGATGGGGTGGATGCTGAAATGCCAGATTTGTCACTATAGCGTGGATGGTTGCTCCAAAACTACTCTAGGTCTGTTTTGCACGAGGGGCCATTATTGTAGAATGGTTAAACATGTCATAATTAATCATGTATTATGCGATAGGAAGGGTTAGGGATTGGATTTACAGTATTATGTTATTGGCTTCATCCAATCCCTTTTTAAACCATGTACATTTTTTTATGTTAATATTGGTTTGTGTATCTTGTGCATCTTTGAAATAAATGTATTAAATTATGCATTCCTTCCAAGTATAAGAAGGGCGCAGAGATAGCCATGTCTGACACAGCTATTAGAGGTGCATGATGAACAAAAGGTGCACACGAATAGAAAAATGCAGCTGTCCTTAGACAGGACACTTGACCCGCATTGCCTTGTATGTGTTTATTGTGTGTCTGTGTGAATTATTGGCGGTGGTCAGAGGGGTCAAGGGCACAGATTGGTAGCCTCACATCTGTCTCAGGGCAGCTGTAACTACACTGAAGTAGCTTATCACCACCATGTATGGAGTGAACGATTAAAGAGGCCAGAAAATCACTGTATAAAACCAATCCATTATTATTTTTACTTATTAAGAAACACACTTATTCTGATGGATCTGTCATCATCATGACCCGGCCCCCTTCATTGGCACCTGTGGACTGTCTTCCCCGGCCCAGACTTGGGGGCTGCACCCCTTCCCAGCCTGGGAGATGCTTCAGTCCAGCATCGCGAAGGCCCTAGTCCTCGGTCTACAGCCTTGCTCCCTCCCTGAGGTTTCTCAACTTTCTCCCACTGGGTTTTTAGATTTGGAACAAAGACAGAAGTGATAATTCAGGTCTGTTTTCTGACGACAACTTTCTGAGGCACAATTGATAGTTTGTCTGTTTGTTTGTTAAAGAAGAAAACAGCCAGGTCTATATTTCTAGGATTACTCCAAACAAACTTAAATTAGAAAAACGGTTGAATTTGAGCTTTAATGAGAGTACAGTGTTTATGGCTAATAGTGGCTTTGATGGTGCTCTCGCTGAGCTCCTGTTATGATGATACTCACTCAACCGCAGTTTTTCCACCTCTCGTGTGAAAGAGCGAGCTGCTTATTCAGGCAAAAAAAAGTGAAAAAAAGAGAAGCATCCCAATCAGCGTCAAATAGTGACTCCCATGGCCATTTCTTTAAAGTTTGCAATGTATTTTCAGAAAAATTATGAACACTTCCATGCTATACAGTCAGATCTGTTCCTCTGCTCTGAGAATGTGAGAGTGAAATGTTGTTGAATTGAATCAGACTCTTACAGGAAGCATAATGTTTTTAATGATAGCTTCTGTGCTGATACTACATGTTATGGCTGGCAGCAGAAATACGTACCCTGGAGCGCAGTCAGTCAAATCCTGTATATAGGAAGTAGCTCATTGGTAATTTTGTCATTATTATTTCACTCCAAACACATTGACGATAGACCATTATAATGGAGATAAACCCTTACCTATAATATTATATACATATATGTCATGGCGTTATATAAAACCAATGCATTATCATTATTATTATTATCATTATTAGAACACAAAACAAAAAAAACAAATCTAAATTGTCATTACAATAAAATATATTTCTAAAGGTGTTGCGTCGTTCTCAAGGTCCAGGGCTGTTCTCACCTGAATCCACGCTGACAGTCCACCTCGGGGCTTCTTGTCGGGGATTTTTCTACTTGTCTGCCACGGCTTGTCATCTTTCCCGCGGTATCTAGCCTTTCGCTTGTCACTTTCTGCTATCTGACTGCGCAGCATATGCCGGGGTGATCAGGGTTATCTCTGGGAATTCTGAAGGGCGCCGTTTGAAGTCGTACACAGGTCCAGCCCCGAGCATCTACTCAAGCCAATCTCGCTACACATTGTGGCACTGAATTAGAATGACTTGGAACTGGGAGTGTAAGAAAAAATAAATTGCTGTGGTTGAGAGAGTGACGTTGGACATTAATGAGGAATTGATATGCAAGATTCAATTCAATTATGTATTCTTGTATAGCCCTAAATCACAACAGCAGTTATCTTGGAGAACTTTACACAACCAATGAGTCACACAGGTCTGTCCGTGCATGTTGTGTTTGTCTGTGGGCGATCACAAACATCAGCCTTTTAAATGAACACATTGTCATGAGGTGAAATGAAAGAGCAGGACTGAAGATAAAGTTGAATGATGAAATTATGAAACAAAATCAAATCCAGGGTAACAATAGTGATTTGCTGAACGTGCCGAGTAATCTAGGTGTTTTTTGAAGTGTGTGTGTGTGTGTATTTTGCTGGTTTGGAGCTCGATCCGAAATAAAAGACATTGAAACGCAATGGATTCCCCCTCACATTTTGTGTATTTGAGTTATTTTACTTCTTTAGGCATCCTGTTTCAAGCTTAATTTCTTGCAATGGAACCGCCAAGAAAGAGGATATTTTCCTCTGTTTGGGAGCACTTTGAGCACTTTGACCCCACCATGTGAGAGGAGTAGGGTGTGTAAGCAGTAGGGTGCAATGCCTCACTGCTTCACAGGGCTTCATCTTTCCATCACTAGGCAGCAATAAAAGACAAAAATCCAGAACTAAAAACAAACCGGGAACAAATGTGGGATAGACAATGGACGCGCAACAAGTGTGGAAGGATGAATGCAGGGAGAGACAGGTGAATCATAATAGGCCGGGGCAAACCAAATCAATCAGACAGAAAGGAGGACTCAAAAGGCAATATGAGATGAGTTAGCTAAGTAAATCAAAGTTCACACCATGACCAATTTAAGTTAACTTTTCCTCTAAAGTTCTATGAAACTCTCTCATTATTACCTTGTGTTTGGTGTTTACACAAATCCATAAAGTTGCGTCTTATGGTTCTCATTCCTAACAGGTGTTATGTTGCTGTTGCTGTTGGTGACAGCCGTGGTTTACCAAAACCTGCATTAGATGTATTAAGATGAGTTTAGGAAGATTCATCTCGTCTTAATTCCAGAATTACCGCTTGTTTTGAGCGACAAACTTCCCAGTAACTTTCTACAGTGATCTTCCAGAACCCATCGGCCAAAAAATGTCTTTGTATTTCAGTTCAATCTTTTCCTTTCCTTTTGTATTTTTCCTTTTTATTTTTGGGATTGGACTATAATTGAACCTAAAACCTTGTGGCTTACTTTAACCTTTAAGACAGAACACTTTCTGTTGTCAAAAGGAGTACGCTGGTCCCTGCAGCTGCAATACATAATATATACACTTCACATTCATCTGGAGATAAATAATTGAACTTATTTCTTGGAAGAACACAAAACTCTGCTCATATTTGATGTCAAATAGTGACATAGCTCATATTGCTCACTGGTGCTGTCCATGGTGCTGTGAGTCAGAGCATTATTAAATCAAGCCCACATATGGTTTTTAAATTGAGTAGAATTACAATATGTCTGAAATAGTCGAATAATACATGCAAAGTTTTTTAATACAAATTAGTTTTGTTTGATAATACATGCACTATGCAGATGTTAAATGTGACCTAGAGAAATCTGAACTAAAGAAGACTAATTATAACTGGCTTTAAAGGACAGAGCCAGGTCATCCATAAGACTTTAATTAGGGATCAAATTAATAATTGTTACACAGGGTTTCAAAGAGGTTTAGCTTTAGGTTTCTCACACAATCTTTATTGGACACATACAGTATAATGCGTTATTTGTATAATTATTGGGTCTTCAAACGTATAATTTTTCTTTGTTTTCCCCAGAGGACCCTGAGGAAAGAGGACGCTCTAGACCTCCACTAGGTCCAAGAGCCAGATCCCCAGAGGACCCAGTGGAGAGAAGAGGCTCCAGACCTCCACCAGGTCCTAAATAGATAAATAGATAATCAGAAGAACAAAAGTAACTCCAAATACACTTTCCACAAAAGAGACTTTGGTATAAGACTTTGGTATAAGAGGTATTGGTATTCGTCCCACTGTGGGACGAATAAAGGAATTCTTATCTTATCTTATCTAGCCTAAAAACCGTTGAGCGTATTTCTCTTGAGGTACATGCAATTTTTTGTTTTAAAAAGTTTTAGTACCACTGCGTAAACCAACACCATGCAATGACACTCAGAGTACAGACTTTTTCAGTGGAATATAATAAATATCGATAGACCACACTATAGCATGGCCTAATGAAAGGAACATAAGGGCCACCAAATTTCCCCATAGACTAACATACAGAGGCCGATACATCAATAATGTTACTATAACCGCACATACATCACCGTCACATTGTGTGAGACCTCAGACGTGAGCGTGACCATGTGACCACAGCCTCTCGACTCTCATCATTGTCATTCACCCCCATTCTTGTCTTATTGCCCCTAGTCCTAAGTGACTTTTAAAACTGCATCTCATATAAATGTAAATCATCCCTTCGCTGTCCTCCAGTTATTGTTTCTATTAAACACTTCATATATTTTATTATCAAACGAAGGCGGCGCACTTCAATTTCACAGATAAATAAACTAAAAAAATTGTGCAAATCACGATCAAACATAGAGGTTTTTTTATATATATCTATACAAAGATGCACTGGCTGAAGTGAAGTGGTACAAGTGGCACCAGGGGAAATTGGGGTCTCGCCCATGGAGTGTTGTGTTGTGTCCACTGGTTTTTATTGTCTGCGTTGGGGCCATAAAGGTTATAAGAGATGGAAGGCTCCGAATGTTGTAGCGGTGAAGAGGTATAGAGGCTTTCAGACCTCGTGACGTTATGGAGCATCTGAAGTAGTTGTGTAGTAAGCTCCTCCAGGCTGATTGAGTCAAAAGCCACGGGTCCTTTTCATGTCTGCGATCGGAGTGAGATGTGTGTAGGAGGAGTACTGTTGTCATATAGTAGAGAGATCCTTTTCAAAACTGATTTTTAAAGAGGACATAACAGGCTTGTCACACTCATGGCTTATTATACACTGCTCAAAGAAATAACAGCAACACTAGTCTATGGAACTAACAATTATGTTGGTAATCGAGTCGCTTTTTTAGAGCCCTTGAACATAATAACTTCCTGAATTCAAAATTTATTCTTTCATTAACATCCCCTTTATTAATCCATTTCTGGGTCAGCGAGGGCGACAATCAGAGAAGACACCATGGACTGTAAATATTAACGGATGTAGTCACGCCTAAGAAGATGCTATATATTAGCATTGAATAATTATTATTCTGGATCCATCCCCATAGGCAAGATGGCGCCAGCAGTGTGCACGGCGCAGCATCTCTCTGTTCTGATTTGGTTACTGTTTGCACAGATCGCCAATTTAAGTTATCAAAGTGTTTCAGCACTGCTTGTTTATGATCGCCAGTCGTTATTTTCTATCCGTGACCAACACGAGTTGTTTCTAAAGCAAAATTATGGAAACCGATCCTCTGGTGGCCTTCCCCCCCTCTCTCCTTGGCTCTGCCCCCGTACCTGCACCGCTCCTGTGCTCTCCCAAGGAAGCGCCACAGGAAACGGGGAAGGAGAGGTGGCACTGCCGTAAGAGTAAGAGCCTACCTTCGCTCCCAGCGCGGGCGTGCTCCTCCAGTACAGTTCGGCGATGTCCACCAGGATGTCTGCCCTTTCCCGGACCGTTTGTGGCGGTGGATTCTCCCGGTTCATCCCGACAATACCGTGGATGGATACGTAACAGAGGAGTACTATATCCACCGTCTTCCCAGACCCACAGAGCGCCGCGCTGTCCCAGCTAACCTGCGCTCGTTAGCTCGGGCCCAGCCTTGTGAGGATAATCCAACTCTTCAGCTGGCCCTGTTCAATGTTAGATCCCTGGCGAACAAGACTTTTGTATTGAATGACTTCTTCACAAACCGGGATTTGGACTGTATGCTTCTGACTGAAACCTGGCTTTGACCTGGTGAGTGTATCGCTTTCTCAGAACTTCTCCCACCAGCATGCTCCTTCTTTAGCTCCCCTCGCACAACAGGGAAAGGCGGAGGATTAGCTACTGTTTTTAAAAACAATCTGAACTGTCGGAAGCTCCCCTGTGCGCAATTTGAAAGTTTTGAATTGCAGCTCTTTGAGCTAAGACTGAATGCACTGATCCTGTGCGCACTAATATATCGCCCGCCTAAGTCCAACAAGGATTTTATAAAGGAATTTTCGAGCCTTATGGCGGACATCGCTCTGAAATGGGACTATTTTATACTCGCTGGTGATTTTAATGTTCATGTTTGTTGCGAATCAAAACCTCTAGTCAAGGAATTTCGGAACATTCTCGACTCTTTTAGCTTGACTCAGTCTATAAATGTTCCGACCCACAATAAGGGGCACATTTTAGACCTGGTATTGTCTCACGGGCTAAATGTGAATGTCAGAGACATATGTGACTTGGGGATCTCTGATCATATGCCTGTGTTGTTTTCAATTTCGATGTCTTGCCCAAAAGCAAATGCGTGCGCTCCCGTGAGCAAGCGGCGTATTTGCTCTACTACGGCTCCTCTTTTTTCCGCAGCTTTTAATGCCTCGCCTCTGAGCGCTTCCGTAACCAACTTGGAAATTAATGACATGGTTAGCCTCCTTGATTCCACTTGCACCGAGATTCTTGACTCTATTGCGCCTTTTACGCACATGCGCTCAAAGCCTGGAGAGCCGTGGCACAATGCCACAACGCGTGCTCTTCGCTGTGAATGTTGCCGCGCGGAGAGAAAATGGAAAAAAGACCGACTTCATGTGTCCCTGGGAATTTTAAAAGACTCTCTTAAAAACTACCAAAGAGCTGTAAAATCAGCAAAGACCAACTACATGTCCAACCTTGTTACCAAAAACTGTAACAACCCCAAAGTTCTCTTTAATGTGTTAAACAGCATTGTAAACCCAGTTGAACATACTGGTGTTTCCCCATCTGTTTCTTTGTGCGACCAATTCTGTAAATTTTTCAAAGAGAAAGTGTCTTCTTTGCGCTCTTCAACCTCATGTGCTGTAGTGGATCCCAGTCTTGTCTCTCCTTGTTCAGCTGTTTTTGCAGACTTTGAGCCCATCTCTCTGTCTGAATTACTGCAGACTGTTCAAACACTTAAAGTGTCTAACTGTCCTTTAGATACCCTGCCTGCGAGAATGTTTAAAGATGTTTTAGATTCTGTTGGTCCTTGTATTTTAAACCTGATCAATCAGTCACTCGAAGAGGGCTGTGTCCCAGCTGCCTTTAAACAGGCCATTGTGCAGCCTTTGCTAAAAAAGCACAATTTGGACCCATCTGTCTTGTCCAATTTTAGGCCTATTTCTAAACTGCCTTTTCTATCCAAGGTTCTAGAAAAGGTAGTTCTTAACCAGCTCCAGTTGCATCTTAAATCAAATGATATTTTTGAAAAATTTCAATCTGGGTTTAAATTCTTGCACAGCACAGAAACTGCACTGTTGAAAATTTTTAATGATCTTCTTTTAATCTCTGACTCCGGAAGCCCCTCGGTGTTAGTGCTTCTAGATCTGACAGCAGCATTCGACACTGTCGATCATAACATTCTTATCTCCCGCCTTGAGTCCTGTGCTGGAATTAAAGGCACAACACTCAAGTGGTTCCACTCGTACCTGTCCGATCGGGTGTTTTCTGTAAATCTCGGCTCTTGCAGCTCAAAGAAAGCCCCCCTTGACAGTGGTGTACCGCAGGGTTCCGTTTTAGGACCAGTTTTATTTTCACTGTACATGTTGCCCTTAGGCTCGATATTCAAAAAGCATAACATTTCATTTCACTGCTTTGCTGATGATGTTCAAATCTATTTGCCTTTGAATGTGAATTCCGATTCCGTCCAAGCACTACAGAAATGTCTTGACGATGTAAAAGACTGGATGTCAATCAATTTTTTAAACCTGAATCACACAAAAACAGAAATTGTACTGTTTGGTGAACCTGATCCGTCTGTTTTCAACGGTGTGTCTAGCCTGTCTTCCTACTGCCGCCCACTTGCAAAAAACCTTGGTGTGTATTTTGATGGTGCTTTTAAAATGGACAAACAAATAAGTTCAGTTGTCAAAGCCAGCTTCTTCCAGCTGAGACTGTTGACCAAAGTTAAAGGCTTTCTTCCACCAAATGACCTTGAGAAGGTTGTCCACGCCCTCATATCCACACGGCTGGACTATTGTAACTCTTTATACTATGGCCTTGACCAGTCCTCAGTCCACAGACTGCAGCTGGTACAGAATGCAGCAGCTCGGATGCTGACTGGCACCAGACGACACGAGCACATCACTCCTGTGCTGTCGTCTCTACATTGGCTTCCTGTCGCTTTTAGAATTAAGTTTAAAATGTTATTGTTAGTATTTAAATCTCTGCATGACCTGGCTCCGTCATATCTGACTGACTTGCTTACTTTGCACACCCCGGGAAGAGCACTGAGGTCCTCTGACCAGCTTCTTCTGCACTGTCCCAGGTCTAGATTAAAAACCAGAGGAGACCGAGCCTTTGCTGTGGCAGGGCCTAAACTCTGGAACGCTCTCCCTTACTCCATCAGAGCTGCCCCCTCTGTAGAGAGTTTTAAATCGCAGCTAAAGACACATTTCTTTGCTTTGGCTTTTTAACACAAGCAATGTTGAAACATTTATGATGGTGTCCTGCATTTTATTTTATGCTGAATGTTATTTGTGTCTTGTATTTTTACAATGTCTGGTAAGCACTTTGTGACAGTCCAGTCTGTTTTTAAAATGTGCTATACAAATAAACTTGACCTTGACCTTGACCTTGATAGGCCCGGTGTGAAATTGCAAGCATGACACAGCCTTAGTCTTTCAAAGGGGCTTCAGGCAGAGTGGGTTTAAGTGTCTTGCCCAGGGACACAATAACAGCAGACTTCAGTGGGAGCAGATGGAGTAGGTATCGTGGGGGGATCGAACACGTGATCATCGGACCCGAAGGTCAATGCTCCAAAAAAAGCTTCTTTGTACACTCTGTACTTCTATTCTCGTTCGAAAACAAATAACAAAACAATATTAAATAAAAAATATGAAAAGCAATACAAAATAAAAATAAAAACATGAAAAGTTCGAAAGGGAGTGGGAAGAAGTAAACACTTTTTAAATCCCGCCCCAGTGCATAAATGTTTGGTGGTTGCTTAATGTGCAGTAAATAAACCCTTGTTATCTTCATATCAATATATTTACAATTCTAATAACTCATAGATTACAATTCAGTAACTTATACTATATGACTTAGTAGAGAATCCTCATAGAATGCAAAGCTTAACTCCGTGACACTGTTATTGTTAGTAAATGATGTTTGATGGTGGTAATACTATCTTACTATAGTAAGGATTTTCACTGTGTACTGTACTGTTGTAAAAGTTTTTCTTTATATTTGGCTTTAAAATAGTAAATGTTAGGACATCGCTCCTTCAGTTGCATGCGCAGCTGAACAGATCTGCTTTTATCCTGGACTAGTTATTGCCTAGTTTCTCACCAGCTTCTAACCAATGTGAGCATGAGGTGCACTGTTTGACAAATATATACTTGTATTATTGATGAAAAAAACAGAATATGTGCACCGCAGCCTTAATGAGCATTTTCAGAGAATCAGATTTTCCAATATGGATGAGAACAGTGGACCTGTATCTAACAATAATTGGCCTTGAATTTAGGTCAATATTGTTGCTTGCAATGAACAAAATGTTAACCATGATCTCTGTGTACAGTGTAATTAATGCTGATCGCTGTAGCAAATAGTATTAGCCGTTCATGTTTCTCCTCGCTCCAGGTAAAAGCCGACTATCGCCCAGCAAATTGCCGTATAGATTACTGGCTGAGCTCTTTGTTTGATTTCTTTGTATGACAGTAGTTTGAACAGCCTCTCACACAAACGCACACGCCGCACTGTTGGGTTCCAGATAAGGATTACACTCAGCACCGAATACGCTTCCACAAACGACCTTTCAAATTCTATTGATTCTCCAAGTGTCCACTCCACCTGCAAAGGTTCTGTCAAGAGGCACAGGATAATATTGAGCAGAAATGTTACTTTGGCTGAATTAACATACAAACTTATTTTTAGCTATTTTAAAACAGATGCAGATCTCATAACCTGTTTGTGGATAATGTAAATGTTCAAATCAAGATGCATTTTTAATGGTTGTCAATGTAGTCTTGATTTAGAATGATGAATTATTCATTGTACAATACAATAAAAAAGGAAGACATAAATATACAATTTGAAAAAGGAGTTGGTAGAAGTCAAAATTCTTTTACAGAATTTCACATGATTCCAATGAATTCACAGTCAGAGCTGACATAAACATCAGATATTTCTCTTGTAAGTGACACTCATGACCATAAACAGTCATAATTCTAAAGGCAAATTAAACACCAGTGATGATCTAGGACAGGGGTGTCCAAACTTGTGAGTAAAAGGGCCACTTTAGTTCATCAGACTTGTCCCAGGGCCGGCGAACCAGATACTGAAACTATTTTTGACTGGGTTTGGGCAGTTCTGGGCTTTAAAATCAGGTATGGCACGTCTTTATTGATTCACCTTTTAACGCTGAAGTTGGTTGAATTACAAATGTTCACCATGTCACAATAGCGCCATATACTGTATATCATATTTGTCAAAGGCTGGATTCTAGAGCGGTCTAACAAGGTATAGCATTAGCATGTCTGTATTGGCTGAAGGATCTTGTTGT